GATGCATATACTAAGTACTGCGGTCGTTATATGAATTCCTAGTACCATAATTCGTTTAACTAAGGATAATTCGCATAGAGGTATGAAATTGAATTAGTTAAATAGGCTCAATGAGAACTCGAGATAGGTAAATTGAATACAGTTGGAGAATTCAACCGAATACTACATTAGGCTCGAATCTTGAATTGAGAATTAAGGTGATCATTAGATGAAGTTGCTTTACCCTAATATTCATTATGCATTTGAATCATTATTTGTTATTTCATCATATTTTCAATTAGTTTTAGGTAGTTAGTTAATAAAAGAAAAATAATATACACAACTTTTACCATTCTTTATTTGTTTTGTCTGTTACCATATAGGAGTTCGAAAATTATATTACACTAAAGTATAGTTCTCGTGCGAACGATAATCCGAACTCAAAGATCCACTATATTACTTGTTACAATATCGTACACTTGCGAAATCATCGAATCTTCAATTCCCAGAACCTTCACGGGCAAGTTTGATTGTTTCATTATACTTACTAAATACTAATTTGGATGGCCTACATTTACATGCATGTGCACTAAAAAATTTCATTAAAAATTTTAAAAATATGATTTAACTTAGATTAACACTAAATTTCCAAATAAATAAAGAACTATAAAATTGAGAAAATATACCAACCTGTAGATCGCATATATTTCCCTTTTGGTCTATAAGGATTCAACGCTCGTGTGAAATTGTAAAAAAAGCTATTTCTCCGAGAAAAATGAAAGGACTAGAACTTTTCACATCCCAAGTTTGGTAATACAAAATAAAGAAATAGAAAATACACCATTTTCAGTGCCTCGTTGTGATCAACTTTGTGGTGCATTAATGAATGTTGAAAACAACACATTGATGGATATGATTAAACCATTTCAAATTCATGTCAACAATATGTAGAAATTTCGTGTACTTGTAGAATAATTCATGAATGTTACCCTTTACTAGCCCAATCATGCTACAAGTACACTAATTTTGACATCAAGTTTGACATTGTACCACGTGGCGACATCACATTGGACAGTTTTTAAAAACAACACACTTTCCCGCCAAGCACAATTTACATTTACACATGATGTCAAACTTGATGTCAAGCAAACAATGTACAAGAAGCTTTATTCTTTCTAGCCACCCTTTTTGTTGCATTTGATTCTTCATTAACTCCACCAACCTAAACGCCAAAGGCTAGGAAATACAGAGCAGCAGATAAGAAAGGGATGTTGAAAGTTTGAGCTAAACTACCAAAATTTAGTTAACATTTCAATTTTCTGTATTTTCTGCCTAACAATGCTACGTAACTCAACT